AGGGTTTTGGGGGGCGATGCCCGATCCCTTCCGTGATTCCCGGTCCCTCCCGCGGCATTTCCCGGTCCCCATCCAGGATTTCCTCCCCGCGAGCTTCTCCCTCTTTTCCTACCCCCCGGCCCCCAACCCCAAACCCTCCTTCCCGGTGCCTTTTCCCACCTCAAACCCGGTAGGAAAACTTTCCCATTGCCGGGATAACACGGAGCAGGAGATTCCACCCCCTTCCCTGGGGCCCTTCCTGGTTTTTGGGGGGGGGGCCACAGCCCCCTCCCCACCGGGATTTGGGAAGCGAGGCAGCACAATTCCCCTTCCCAGCAGGAAATCCCATAGGATTCCTCTTCCCCAGGGATGAGTATTTCGGATTCCTCCTCCCCAGGGAAAAATCCATTCCCAGATTCCCCAAATCGGGTGCTTTCCCATCCCCTCGGAGCCTGGAAAAGGGATCTGTGATGGCGGGGAGGGGGGGTATTGCCGGGAAAAGGGGAGGAGGAGGAGACGGGAATGTGGGAGTGGGGAGGAAGATCCATCGGCTTTTCCGCGGCCGTTGTGATCTGGTTTTTTTTGATATCTTGGATTTTCTGGAGCCTCCTTGGCCACTGCCGGTCGGGAGGAGGAGGAGGAGGAGGAAGGGGGAGCAGGGATCGGGAATGGGATCGGGATTGGGATTGGGATCAGGATCGGGGGGGTGCGCTCTTCCCGTAGGGAGCCGAGCGGAAGCGGCAGCGGGAGAGGGATCGGGAATGGGATCGGGATTGGGATTGGGATCAGGATCGGGGGGGTGCGCTCTTCCCGTAGGGAGCCGAGCGGAAGCGGCAGCGGGAGAGGGATCGGGAATGGGATCGGGAACAAGCTCCTCCCGGCAGGAGTGTGGGAGGATTCGCTCCCGGGGTGGGGGCTGGGCCAGGATGGCACAGACGGCCCTGGATTTGTGGGAATGTGGGGGTTTTTAGGGACTGGGGAAGCCTGGAGGGTTTGGGGGGTGCAGGGAGAGCCCCCCCTCTGCTCCAGGACACAGCGGCACATCCCAGGATTTGGGGCATCCATGGCACTCTGGGAGCCCTGGGGGAGAAATGGACCTGGTGTATCCATAGGGATCCCCCCCCATCCATAGGGATCCTTCCCATCCATAGGGGTTTTTCCCTTCCATAGGGGTTTTTCCCTTCCATAGGGATCTTCTATATCCATACGAATCCCTCCCATATCCATAGGGATTCTTTATATCCGTATGGATCCCCCTCATATCCATAGGGATCTCTCTCCTCCATAGGGATCCCTTATCCCTGTGGGTCCCCCATTCCTTTGTGCTGGAATTCCTTGTGCCATTGGAGTCTCTTGGATCCACCCCATGGATCCATGACAGTGCCAGTGCCATGCTCCTGATCCTTTGGGATTCTGGGATCCCAGTGCCCCCTTTTCCTGGCTCCTTTCCTGCTCCATGTCCTGGGAATTTGGGCAGGCAAAGATCCAAATCCAGGTGTTTTGGGTTTTCCGTGTACATCCATGGAGTCCCATCCCTCATCCACCAGTTCTGCTGGATGAGGTTGGAGTGGGAATTTTGGGGCTGAATTCTGGGATTGTCCCATTTTGGAGTCCCTATGGAATGTTGGAGGATCCCAATGGAATGTCGGAGGATCCCACACCGGTTCCTTGGGATGGGAGCAGTTGGATTTGGGTGCTTTTTCCAGGCCTGGGGATGTTTTCCAAAAAAACGTAGGCTTTGTTCTCATGGAATCTCAGAGAATGTATGTGTAAATCCTGGATTTTTGGGATTGGACCGAGCCAATCCCATGTGTACCCTTGGGAAGGAGACGCTACCCAAATCCAACTGAAATTCCCCAAGCTCCGTCTAAAATCCCTCCAAATCCACCTAAAATTCCTTTGAATCCATCTGAAGTTCCCCAAATCAACCTAAAATTCCCCAAACTCCATGTAAAATTCCCCCAAATCCACCTAAAATTCCGGGATTTGTTCATGTTGAGTTGTTGGCTGAGGGCAGGGTTGGGAATTTGGGCTGCTCCCGGTTTGCTCCCGGTTTGCTCCCAGTTTGCTCCCAGTTCAGACCCGCCCTTAACTCGGGAGCTGCTGCTCCTGTATCCACAGGAAATCTCCTGCTGCCTCACCACCTTTGCTGCCATTCCAGGGGTGATGCTCTGTCGGAATTTCTTCTAAACCAGGGAATTCTGAGGGAAAGGAACTCAACCGGAGTGATACGAAATTCCAGAGAATTCCCCAATGGCTCCATGGTCTTTCTTGAGCAGCTCAAAAGCTGGTGCATTTTCCCCTTGTCCTTGATCCCTGATTCCAGTTAAATCTTGGAGACCTGAAAAATTCCAAGGCTGCTCCAACAGGGGCGTTCCCAGGGTTTATTGTTCGTTCCCAGCAAGAATTCCCACAAACCAGTGGCACTTCGGAATCCGCATCCAGAGTCTCTGCCCTGGGTTTGGAATGACAGTCCTGGGGACTGGAATTAGAGGGAATTTGCCCATGGCCTGATTTTCCAAGGAATGGCCTCAGTGGGATGTCGGATCCCGAAATCCCAAGTGCCACTTGCTGGTTTTTCCTGGAAGTGCTGGAAACAGCTGGAATGGGAAGCGGGAGCGGCTGGATGGGGATAATGAGGGTGGGAATGGCACCCAAATTCCAAAGGGATCAGGTGAAAGATGGGTTTTGGAGGGGTTGATCCCAGCTGGCATTGGAATAATCCACGGAAAATGGGATTGTGCCATTCCAGGGAGTCCTTCCCAGCATTGGGTTTGTTGGAGAGGCCTCATTCCCACTTCTCCTTGGGATCAACTGGCTTTGGATTCCCAAGGATTGGAAAATGTAGGGAAAACCCATCCCTTTCCCTGTAGGATTGTCCTTCGGTGTTCCCAAACCTTTTCCCAAGCACTTGGTGGGAAAAGTATTGGGATGGAACTGATCGGCCGCCGTTGGATGAGGAGGAGGAAGGTCCAAAAAATCCAGGAATTTGATCCAGGAATCCTCCATTTTGGAGGAAGACTCTTCCTGAGGGATCACGCTGGGGGGAGACGGAGATCCAGGGACCCTTTGGATTTGGGGTTGTGCCTCATCCAAGGGATTTGGGGATGAGCTCAACCGGGTCCTGGGGGTCTCCTGGTCCTAAAACTTCCCCAAAATTTCATCCCAATAAATTCACTCAGGGCCATCTCATCCCACTTTTCTGAGTGGCCGCCTCTTCCCTGGGAAAGCGGGAATGTTGGTCAGCCCAGAGACCCTCTGGAGACCCTTCCCACCTCCTCCCTGGTGTGTTAGATCCCAAAATCCCTGTAAATGAGGAGAAAACAGGGCCAGTCCAGCCAGTCAGCCTCAGAGCTGAGGGTTTTCTGCCTGGGATCACCTGTGGATCATGGATTGGGGTCGGGAATCGCAGCCAGATCAAAGGAATTCTTGGCAGACACTCCCTCAAAGGCCTTTTGAGCTTGGAAACAGGAGCATCCAGGGGATGGATCCGTAGGGAAAACCCCTCCAAAATTCCACAAAATGATGTTTTCCCGCTTCCTTCCCCCCTCCTGGCCCTGAGGATCCGTGGGAAGGGCCGGAGCAGCGGGATGGGATGAGGATGGATGGGAGGAATCAGCTCTCTGAGTGTGCCAGGAATGTTTTCATCTCTTCCCAAACCTCTTCCTGGCATAAAACAGGGATGGAAAGGCTGGAGGAGGGTGGGAAAACAGCCTGGAATGGTCCTAAAAACCAGGGAATGGGATCTAAGGGAATATTTGACCAGGACGGGATGAGGAGGTGGGAGAGGGAAGGGGAGGAGGGACATTCCCAGGATCCTCCTGGGATCTCATTGGTGTTTTCCCATGGGATGGATGTGGGGAGTGGGAACCAGTGAGGACCAGTGGGTTCCTGGTCTGTGGATGGGGCTGGAATCCTGGGAATGGGATGTTGGAGGCAGATGGTTCCTTCATTCCATAGGGAAGAGAAGTTTCCCGAAGCCAAACCTTCCCTTCGGCCCCACGCTCCTCATTTCTTCCCCCAAACCCACAAGATTTGGGAAGATTTTGGGAGATTCTCATCCCTGATCCTCTTCCAGACTCCCCGTGTTTAATCCCACCTTTCTCTGCTCTCCATATTTTCCATGGACACAGGCTGGGAAAAATCATCCCAGGGCCCATCCCACCCCCTCCTCAGTGGAGAAATACATGGAAATTAAAGCCAGTTGGTCCTTTCCCCCTTTGGAAACCAAACTGTTCCTTTTTATCCAGGAAAGGCGAACCAGGGGGTTCCGGCAGAGTGGAAATGCCACAGAATTCCCGGACTCTCTGCAGCCCAGGGGTGGAATAAAGCCATGGAAGTTCCAGGGTGTTGGGAATTAGGGGATTATTGGTGTATTTTAGGAGGATCTGACACTTCCCATCATTCCAAACCCTGTCCAACCTGGCCTTGGGCACTCCCAGGGATGGGGCAGCCCTGGATTCTCGGAATAATCCACACCAGGGCCTCCCCACCCTCACGGGGAGAAATTCCTTCCCACTATCCCATGTAAACCTCCCATGTTTTAGTTGGAAAGACAGGTTCTCCATCTCTAGGATTCTCCATCTCTGGGTGTTTCCACCTCTGGAATTGGGCTGGAGCAGCTCAGTGGGAGGTTTGGGAGAGCCAAAATCCCACTGGATCTTTCCTCTCTGGTGCCAGAGGGAAGGGGAGATTCCAAACCCACCGAATCTGTCTGGACCAAGAGGTTCTTGGCCACATCCCTCGACATCTTCCCTGGGATCCCTTGGCATCTTTCCTGGGATCCCTGGTGTCGTTCCCAAGGTTTTGGGATCTTTGCCAGACCCCTTGGCCTCTTCTCCGGCATCTTCCTCCACATTCCTTGGCATCTTCCTCAGCGTCTTCTCTGGAATCTTTGCCCTCATCGCTCAGGATCTTCACCAGGGATGTGGAATCTTCTTTGGCATCTCCCCCCTCCATCCCTGGGTGTCTTTGCCGCTTTCCCAGGCGTCTTCTCTGGCATCTTTGCCCGGATCCTTCGGCACCTTCCCAAAGGTTTTGGCATTTTCCTTGGCACCTTCCTTGGCTTTTTATCCGGCATCTTCCTCAACATCCCTTGGCATCTCCTCTGGCATCTTCTCTGGTGATCCCTTGCCATCTCCACTGGAGTTCTGGCATCTTCCTTGGCATCTTTGTTGCATTCCTGGGCATCTTCTCTGGCATCTTTGCCGGGATCCTTCAGCATTTTCACCTGGATCCCTCGACCTCTTCCTTGACATCCCTCAGGATCTTCCCCCACATCCCTCACTTTATTCCTTGGCACATTCCTTGACATCCCTCAGCCTCTTCTCTGGCATCTTCACCCTCATCCCTTCCTGCATTCCCTGCAATCCCAGGGCACATTCCCGGGAATCCCTGTCCTTCCTCTCCCTGCCCTCACTGCTCCGGCCCAGGTGCTGCCGAGGCCGCTCCTCTTCCACCCCCAAACCTCAGGAACAGGGGGTTTTTAGGGAATGGGGTGGGGGTGGCTCCCGGTGACTCTGGCGGCTCCTCCTCGGGCTGGAAGGAGTTAAAATTCCATGGGAGGGAAGGAGCTTCCATGAATGAAGACAAAGTTTGGCGGGGGGCCAGGGGTGGGGGCGGGGAACCAGAGCACCCAAAAACCGGGAATATCCCCCCAATTCCCCCCTCCCTGAACCCACCTCCAATTCCGCGACCAGAGGTACCGAAAACCGGCTCCGACCGGATCGGATTTTTTTTCCTTTTTTTTTATTCCCTTTTTTTTCCCCTTCTCTTTTTCCCTTTCCCGCGAGGGCTGATGGGAAGCAGTCCGTCAGCATCCCCCTTTTCTTTTGTTTAATATCTCCAACGGCGCATGATTGGCAGGGAAGGGCCCGCTCGGAGCCGCTCCGGCTCCGGCCACGCTCCGCAGGGGGATGGATCCCCCTCCTTCCCGACCCCTGGCTCCTCCTGCCCCTTCCCGCTGCTCTCCCCCCGCTCCCAGCCTTAATTTTCCTGCCAACTGGAGCCAGCAGCGGGAATCTTGGACCTGTGAGTATCCTCAAGCCCATCCCGGGGTTATCGGGAATGTTGGGAATGGGAGACACACAAAAGGCTCCTCACAGATGGGCTTTCCTGCTGGTTTTGCTGGCTGGGAATGTTTTAAGGGAATGTTTTAAGAGGATGTTTTAAGGTTGGATTTGCTGCCGGAGTCGTGGTTCCCTTTCCCCGCTTCCAGCCCCCCCCCCCTTTTCCCACCTCATCCCTGCTCCCAACCATCGCTATTCCGGAGTGATCAGATCCCGCCATGACTGCAGGAATGGGTGAAAAGACAGGGAATGAGGATGCTTGGGATGGGTTTTCTGGCGGGTCGGTGTCCCATTATTGGGATCATGGATGGGATGGGGGGGGTCAATGGCTCTGAGGTCGGATCTGGAGTGGCTGCACAAAGGCGGCTCCGCAGTCGAGGAAATCGGGAAGGGTTATATAAGGAAGCCTGGGAAGTTTGCGTCATCCCGGATGGGGAGGGGGCCCAGGGGCCAGAGCCGGGCTCTCCCCCCCTTCCCCCCCCCCCACCATTCCCATCATTTTCCATCACTTTTTATTCTCCTGGAGCATTTTCTGGCTGTTTTGGCCCCAAAATTTGACCAATTCCCAGGAATTTTTAGCTGGTTTTTAGGTCTTTCCCCCCCATTTGAGGGCTTTTGGAATTCCCACATCCCAAAAATGCCGGGATGGGGTGAGGGGTGAGGCCTCTGGAGCCGGACATGGAGCCAGGATTCCCTGCTCCCAATAAATGTAGTTGGGTAAAAATCCCAAATTTGGGAGGGAAGAGGGAAAGAAGCACTTTTTGGGAAGGGAGGATTTTCCTCCTTTCCCACTTTTCCTGCTTCCCATCATTAGGTTTGGACTTGACCTGGAGCTGCAGAATCCAGGGACTGGGCCAGCAGTGGTATCTGGAATCTGAGGGATCCAAGGCATCCAGGGTCTGGGAATTCTGGCATCTTGGAATCTGAAGGGTGGAAAATCCAGGATCTGGGAGTTCCAAGGTCTGGAAAATCCAGGATCTGGGAGTTCTGGTGTCTTGGAATCTGAAGGGTGGAAAATCCAGGATCTGGGAGATCTGGAATCCAGGGGATCCAGGACCTGGGATATTGGGAGTCGGAAATCCAGGCTCTGGAGATCCAGGATGTGGGAGATCCGAGGTCTGGGCCCAGAGTGTTGGAGCAGGGCCAGGTGTTCCCCCCATTGGGATCCAGGAATGGGAAGAGCAGAGCCCCTGGAGCCATTTGCTCCAGAGGAATTCCTGTTCTGCCACATCCCGGCCAGCCTTCCATGCATCTTCCCAAATCCTTTCCCTTATTCCCTCATTCTCTTCCCCTCATGCATCTGCAGGACCAGGAGCAGCTGCTCCCCCCAGATCCCAGGATGGCTCCATCCCGCTCCGAGGCCATTTCTAAGGGCTTTTCAGGGATTTTCCCTTTGTTTGTGTCGCTTTAAATCCTGGAGCTCCTGGAGAAGAACCTCTGGGATCCACCCTCAGACTCCCTCACCTGCCTCAGAATTCCTGCCCAGAGCTGGAGCCAGGTGTTTCTCCAGGTTTCTGGACCCCACCTGGAGCTGTGGGATCCGGAGCAGTTTTCTTTCCGTCCTGGAGTTTTCCTCCCTTCCCTTCCCGTTGGATTCCTGCGGATCTGGCTCCAGCTGCGGAGCCGTTAAATCCTAATTACCTTTTTAGGTTGTTATCCTTTTCCTGCCGTTCCTTGGGAATGCTCGCCCTGGGAATCAGCCATTTTGTACTCCGTGTCGGAACGCGCTTCCCGGTGCCGGGATGTGCCGATCCCGCATGGAATCGGGAGCAGCTCCCGGGCAACTCTGGGCTCTGCATTCCAACCAGACGGCTCCAGATGAGGAACCAACTCCGCAGATTTCCCACGGGATCAGAGCAGTTTTCTGTGGGATTTGGGGGGTTTTGGGGCAGCAGGAATGTGCCCAGGGGAGTTGGATGAGTTGGATCTCATCCCTGATCCTGGGAAAATGGGGCTTTAAATGGCTTTCGATCCCATAAATATCAGGATTTTTTAACATCCGAATGGGACCATTGAGCAACTCCTGGATCCAAATCCCTGGATTTGGAGGGACTGGGGTGATGATTCAACCTCTTGGAACACTTTGGATCCAGCCTGGATGTACCAGGGGGGCATCAGGTCCCACCCAACATCCCAGATAATGTGGAATGTTGGATTTGGATGTTGATTCCTGACCTGCCAAGTCTCTCCTGGGATTGATTCGGGAATTCCAGCCCCAAATAGTTGGGAATTGGAGGGTATATCCATGTTGCCTCCTGGGCTTATTCCCGCTGAGAATTCCGGGCAGGAGCAGGGACCAGGACTTGGGTGGTGAATGAGAGACTCCCGGGATGTGCTGGGATGGTGTTCCTGGTGCTCAGGAAGGAATCCTTGGAGCTGAATTCCCAATGCTCCACCCTCCCAGTGTCCCTTCTTCCTCGTGCTGGATCAGAGATCCAGGAGAAGGAGCTGGAATGTTGTTGCGCAGTGAGGATCCCCTGTGCTTGGGAAGAGCAGGAATTTCCCTTCCAAGGGCATATCCAAGGGCTCGGGATGCTCCAGGAAGCTGCTGCAGGTGTCTCTTCCTGGGAATACTGGAATTCTGGGCTGGTTTATTTGTGATTTCCCACTCTTGGGATCCACCTTGGCTCTTCCAGGGCTGCTGGAATTCCCGGTGCTGCTGGAGCAGAGTCAGGAAAACAGGGAGACCTGGAGTCACTGGGACCACATGGATCCCTCGTGGTGGATCAGGGGTCATTTCTGGTGGGTCAGGGATCATCCCAGGGGTGGATCAGGGATTACAGCCCCTCCATTGGCTCCGGAGGGTCCGAGGCCAGGAATAGGGAAAAGCCTCTGGGAAGGGACTGGAGCCTTGTGGGGCTTCCCTGGAAAAACTCCATCTGGAATTAACTCCTGGTGCTGCCAACTTTCGGTTCTGGATCCCATTGGATAAACCCCAGGATATTCTCCATCCTGGTCGCATCTCCCTGGATATTCTCCCTTTTCCACTGGAATATCCCTGGGTTTGGCCCAACTCGTCCCGGCCTTTCCAATCCTCCCGTTGGCATTTTTTTGGTTGGATGTTCTCCCTGTGGGAGCCGGATCTAATATCCATGGAAAACGGGGAACTGCTTTGTTTGTCTGGGAATGCCAAACCTGTCCTGCCAGGCGGGAGAAGCGCCCGGAGCCAATGGAACGCGTCATGGAGCGCGTGGAGCAGGAGCCGCGATCCCCCAGAGAACTGGGAATTGCCACTGGGACGACATTGTCCGGCAGACTGGGATTCCTGGAAAGCGTTCCAAGGTCAGCCCTCGCTGCTCATCCCACCCTGGCAGCCTCTGGAATCTTGGCTCTACTCCAACCCCAGGATCCTGTTTCCAGGACAGTGTTCCTGGGACAATCCCAGTTGGAGGCACCCCATGGATTTGGCTCCTGTTTTCCCTGGGTTTTACCACCATTTGGGAATTCCGTTCCAGGGATGATGGTTGTTTAAAGTGGAGTGGAGGGAGAGGCAGCTCCTGTTCCCTGGGATGTGCTGATTCCCGGGAGCAGGGCCGGAGGCAGCGAGGCCGGATGAGCCGGTTTGGGATGTGCCGGGACCGGAGTGGGGCCTGAACTTCCCACTGTCCTGGCTCCAGAGCCGCTGGATCCCTGGGATTGGAATAACTCCTGCTCCTCGCTGCCGAGTATTGGATGGAATCGAGGGCTCTCCTGTGACTTTCCCACTGGAAATTCCTGGTGGATCCTCCCCTGCCCCCTCCAGCCGAGGGGCCTCGTTTGATCTGGAATCCAAAACCTCATTGACTTTTTATTGGATCTGGCCGAGCCTGGAAAACCTCTGGAGCGGATTAAACACCGGCAGGCCCCGTTCCTGGTAACGGCACCTTGGATTTGTTTGGAAAACCGGAGGGAAGGGCCTTGGGAATCCTTGGAGCCCTCAGTTTATATCCCTGTGAGTGGGAGCTGCATCCATGGGCTGCTCCGACCTTCCCCCTCTTCCCTCTGACTCAGGGATTTCAGTGCTCCCGGGATCCCTGGGGCTTGTTCCCAGGGTTTTGTTCCCAGTTTTTCCCTCTGCATCCCAAAATGGTGTTTCCGTAACTTTCCAAAGCTGAAATGTCACTAGGATACTGGGATGCTGGAGAGGGATGTGGGAATGCTAGGCAGCATGGGGATCCTCAGGAATGTGGGGATGCTCAGGGATTTGGGGATGCTGGGGGCTGTGGGATCCTCAGGAGTGCAGGGGGATGTGGGAATGCTGAATTCTGGGATACTGGGGAACATGGGGATGCTCAGGAATGCTGGGGGATGCGGGAATGCTCAGGGATTTGGGAATGCTGGGGATGTGGCACCTCCCTGGCACTGGAGCCCCCATTTGTGGTGGGACCAGGGGAACTCTGGAATTCCCACAGGAAGAGGAGGCAACAGGATCCCTCCATCCATGGGGAAGATGGGCGGGAGGTTGGATCTGCTTCCACATCTCCCTGCTGGGGCTGGAGATCCACTCCTGGATCCACTCTGGGATCTGCTCCTGGATCCACACTGGGATCCGGATCCAATTCTGGATCCATTCCTTGTTCTCCACTCCTGGATCCACTCTGGGATCCCCATCTCGATCCACTCCTGGATCCATTCCTAGATCCACTCTGGGATCCCCTTCTGGATCCATTCCTTAATCTCCACTCTGGGATCCACTCTGGGATCTCCACTTGGATCCAATCCTGGATCCATCCTAGGATCCACTTCTGGATCTCCCTGCTGGGTCCTGACCGTGCTCAGGTGTCTGTGGGGAGCTCCCCATGTTATTCCCAGCAGGAATGCCGTGGGATGCCGTTCTCATGAGGGCCTTTCGAACCTCTCCTGACTCCTCCTGCTCCTCTGTGACTCCCGAGAGCGCGTTCCCGGCTGAGCTCCGGGATGCTGGCGCGTTCCCAGCAGAGCAGCCTCAGCGCCGGGCGCGGCTCCGGGCGCTCCCGGCTGTCTGGGCCATCCCAGCTCCCGCTTCCCCCCGGGGTCATTCCTGTGGGACAGGGGCAGGGGCGGCTCCGAGGCCTGTTCGGACCTGCCGGGCTAAATTTGGGAGCAGGAGACGTGCGGGAGCCGGGATGGGCAGGTGGGAAGAGCCCCAGGTGTTCTCCCAGAGGCTCCTTCCGGCTTTTGCTCGGGATTTGGGATTTCCATTGGTTTTCCTGCCCCCGTGTTCCAAGAGCAAGGTGTCTCTGTGCCTCTGGAAGCTGAACCTGTGTCCCAGCCCTGTGTCATTCCAGGGATTTACACCTGAGCCAGGGCCTTTTCCTAGCAGAGCTTTGGCTCGGGGAAGGTTTATCCTGGGAATGACCCAAGGTGGGTGTGGAGCAGCTCCAGGGGCCGAGATCCAGCCGCTCAGGACATGGACACTTCACATTCCCTGCGGAGCCAGTGAAGCTCCCGGTGTTCCTGAACCAACCATGTGGAATTCCCACCCATTCCCGAGGTGTTTGTCTCGGTCCCTGGCTCTGCTCCGCAGGGAAAGGCCTTACCCGGCTGGTTCCTTATCAGCCTGGGAGTGGGATTGGGCTGGGATGGGCTCCGGGGCTGGGATGGGGTTGGGATGAGCTCCAGGGTTGGGATGGGGCCGGAATTGGCTCTGGGGTTGGGATGGGCTCCGGGGCTCCTGCCTGTTTTCCACAGGGCATTCCTGCACCTGGAGCCGGAGTGGGAACACGGAGAGGTAGGTGGATGGGATGGACCTGCTTGCACCTCCATCCTCCTGGAAAACCTTGTGGTGGGGGATTTCCCGAATCCAGAGGCTTCCATGGGATTCATTCCGGCTCCCCTTCCTTGCCGAGTTGCATCTATGGGGTTTGAATCCTGAGGAAGGGATTGTGCCGCCGTTCTCTGGGATCTGGGGAGCTCCTGCCCTTCAGGATCCTTCCAGGATCCTTCCTGACTTGTTTGGCATTGAGAGGTCCCAGGGAGGTTGAAGCTCCATGAGGAGATTTGAGCTCCATGAGGAAGTTGGAGCTCCATGGGGAGTTTGGTGCTCCCTGAGGAGATTTGAGCTCCATAAAGAGGTCAGAGTTCTGTGAGGTTGGAGCTCCCTGAGGAGGTTGGAGCTCCTGAGGAGGTTGGAGCTCCGTGAGGTTGGAGCTCCATGAGGAGATTGGAGCTCCGTGAGGAGGCCGGAGCTCTCCGAGGAAGTCAGAGCTCTCCAAGGCTGGAGTTGGGCTCAGAGTGGACCCTGGGAGGGTTCACTGGGATCCACCACATCCAGGACACTGCCGGTGTCCCTGTCCCTCCTCTTTCCCCCATCCCTGACCACATCCCTGTCCCTCTCCTGTCCCTTTTCCCTGCCTGTGTCCCTGTCTTGGTCCCTGACGTGTCTTTGTCCATGTCCCTGTCCCTGCCCGTGTCCTTGTGCCATTCCCCATCCCGCTCTGCTCCCGGCTGACGGTGCTGTGTCCATGTCCAGGATGGAGCGGATGACGGAGGACGCACTGCGGCTGAACCTACTCAAGCGGGGCCTGGAGACGGGGCCGGAGGAGCGCGAGGACGTCCTGGCCAAGCGGCTGAAGATGGAGGGCCACGAGGCCATGGAGCGGCTCAAGATGCTCGCCCTGCTCAAGAGGAAGGACCTGGCGGGGCTGGAGGTGCCCCACGAGCTCCCAGGAAAGCCCGACGGGATCAAGGGCTATGAGGAGAAGCTCAACGGGAGCCTGAGGCCCCACGGGGACGGGAGGGGCTCGGCCCGGCCCGGCAAGGAGAACATCAACGACGAGCCCGTGGACATGAGCGCCAGGAGGAGGTGGGTGTGGGAATGCTGGGATGGGAGTGGGAATGTCGGGATGGAAGCAGCCAGGAGGAGGTCAGTGCAGGGATGCTGGGATGAGACAGGTGGAAGAAGCCTGGTCAGGGATTAAATGGGATTTGGGAGGGTCTGGTAGATCCGATTCCAGTGGATAAAGGGGCTCCAAGAGCTGGAGAGGGACATGGGAATGGTGGGATAAGAGGCAATGGGTTCATGTGGACAATTTGGTTAAGTGGGATGTCGGGAAGCAGTTGGGAATGTGGGAATTGGGAATTCTTTCTTGTGTAGGGGGTGGCACAGGTTATCCAGGGGATTTGTGGGTCCTTCATCCCTGGAAGTGTCCAAGGCCAGGTTGGACAGGACTTGGAGCAGCCTGGACTGTGGAAGGTGTCCCTGCTCCGAGTGCGGAGTCCATGGGCTGCGTCCCTGGAATTCCATGGATGTTGTGCAAGATGAAGGGAATCCAGTTGGGCACCAGCACCAGACACTTGGATCGGGGTCAGCCCTGGAAGGAGGTGGGAATATCCCACTCTAAGTTTGGAAATCATTGTGAAGTTTCATGGGGGGTGTCTTATTTCCCTGGATTTTCCCTGGAAACGTGCTCCGCATCTTCCCACCTCCCTCGCCGTAGCTCCTGTTCCAGTGGTTCCCTTGGAATTCTACTCTTTCCTGGACAAAGGAAATCTGGTGATTCCTTGTGGATTTTCCTGTTGGATTTGGACTTTGGCTTTGTGTTACTCCCTCAATGGAATGTAAATAATCCAGCCTGGATTTATCCGGATGCTCCTGCAAAATCATCCCTGCCAGCTGTGGGAAAATCCTGGACCAGGATCCGCTGCTGGATCCCTCTGGTTTGAAACTCCTGGGATGCAACTTGGATTGCTTGGATGGGCTCCTGCTGGATCCATCTCCATGAGATGCTCTGGACCTTCTCTGCTGGAGAAGGGGCAGCTCCAGTGCTTTGGAATATCCACAGAAACAGCTGGAATGTTTGGGAGACGAAGACAGCTCCCCCTCTGAGCATCTTCAGAGCAGCTAAATCTGGGATCAGGCTCCATGTTTCCTCCTGGGTGTTCAGAGCTGAGAGTTTGGGATGTGGTGTATTCCATGATCTCCTCACTCCAAGGACCTTCCAGGGAGCTGGGGCACGACAATCCTGGCTGCTTCCATGGCTCCACACTGGATTATTCCACAGTTTTCCAAGGCTCTCCAGCATGAAGACATGAAATCTGCATCTCCTTCCCGGGGATAATCCCTGGATCCCAACATTGGCTTTTAGTTCAGTCTTTCTTTTCCCAGCTGCTCCTTTTGTTTTCTGATTCCCTCACAGATCCATTGGATATTTACTTGGATTTTCCTTTAGGGACTATGCTTTTCCGATAGATTTGGGCTGGGATAGGCTTGGAATGATGGCATTACCGGGAGGGCTTGTCCCCTTCTCCCCTACACCGTGGTGAGGATGAGCCATTCCAGGCTGGAACATCCCAGAGTCTGGATTAGAATCTGCATTATTCCCAATTCCCAGGTGGGATTTGCCCACCTGGAGCTTCCCCCTCTCCCCTGCCAGGGTGGTTTGGAGGGATTGGACTCCCTGGGGGGGCGGGGCCGTGTTCCAGCCGGGATCTGTGTTGGATTGAGGGGTGGTCCCGGTGCGGGATTCCTGCTTTCCCGGCTCATCCCGGTGTGTTCCTCAGTGACCCGGAGCGGGGCCGCCTGACGCCATCCCCAGACATCATTGTGCTGTCGGACAACGAGGCCTCCAGCCCCCGCTCCAGCTCCCGCATGGAGGAGCGGCTCAAGGCTGCCAACCTGGAGATGTTCAAGGTGAGGGAGCCCGGAATTCCGGTGGCTTCGGGCCCTCCCAGCAACTTCCCGGCACAACCACCCGCTTCCTGCTCCCAAATCCGCCCAAATGATCCAAATTCCTGCTCGGGTTGAGCTTCCTTCTGGTCTTTCCCTCACGTTTTCCCGGTGTTCCTGGTTTTTCCAGGGGAAGAGCCTGGAGGAGCGGCAGCAGCTGATCAAGCAGCTCCGGGATGAGCTGCGGCTGGAGGAGGCCCGACTGGTGCTCCTGAAGAAGCTGCGACAGAGCCAACTCCAGAAGGAGAACGTGGTCCAAAAGGTGAGGCTTGGGATGGGAGGGATAATGGGAAGGACCACGCATGGCACATCCCGTGGGAAATCCCCCAAATCCGCGGCCCTGGCACAGCCGGGAACACAAACCTGTGGTGCTCAGCATCACAACTCGTGGAATTCCATCTCTCCGGGGGCTGATCCCGGCTCTCCCCCCCATTCCCGATCCAGACCCCTGTTGTCCAGAACGCTGCCTCCATCGTGCAGCCGTCGCCGGCCCACGTGGGGCAGCAGGGCCTGTCCAAGATCCCGGCCCGGCCCGGAGCCCAGGGTGTGGAGCCACAGAACTTAAGGACACTGCAGGTGAGCGTTCCCCCTTTTCCCTGGAAAACACCCGCTCTGCTGGATGCACACCCAGCTGAGATCCCTTCTCCAGGAGGCAGAGGAGTTCTGGCATTTCCCAATGCCAGGAGTTGGGGTTTGGGGTTGTGCTGGGTGGGAATTAGACCCCACGATCCTTGTGGATCCAGCTTGATATTCCATGATTCCTTAAATATCCAGTGTCCCTATTGGGATGGGGTGAGGACATTGCCTCTGCTGTAGCCTTCCTGCTTTTCCCAAAGGATTCACATTCTAGCCTTATTTTTGTGTTATTTAGTTTGCTGAGTTTAGGGAGTCCAAGGAGCATTTGGACAACAGGATTGTTGGGATTGTCCTGTGTCCGTCTCTTCCCACTAAGCCACCTGGCTCTGGAAAGTGGTTTCTCCACATATTCCTGCCCCTTTCCTTGACTCCAGAGCAATTCCAGCCTCTCCATGGAAAATTGTTGGCTCAAGCCGTTCTCCCTCCAGAAGGGCCACAATCATTTAAAATGAAGGCAAATTTGAGGGAAAAGTGAAGGATTTTAAGCATTAGGAGTTAACTGGGATTCTGGGTAAGCAGAAATTCCCTGGATCACAGAATTAAAGCTCCAGGTTTGCCTCAAATCCTTTATTTTTATCCTATTTTATTTATTTCACCGACTCCAAGGAGTGTTTACCCAACTGGATTGTTGGGGTTGTCCTGTGTCCACCTCCCTCCAAAATGGCCTCAGTTATTTAAAATCAAGGATAATTTTGGAAAAAGAGAAGGATTTTGAATCTTAGGAATTATGGATAAGCAGGAATCCCCTGGATGAGAGAATTAAAGCTCCAGGTTTGCCTCAAATCCCTTATTTTATTTATTTTACTGAGCCCAGTGGAATCCTTAGGTTGTCTCGTGTCGATCCAAGAGTTGGACCCACCATCCCTGTGGGTGTGTCCCATGATTCCCAGTGAATCCCAGTGATCCCCAGTGATTCCCAGTGATCCCCAGTGACCTGTGGCTCTCTCCCTGATCTCCCAGGGGCACTCGGTGATCCGCTCGGCCGCCAGCTCGGCGCTGCCCCACATGTTGATGTCCCAGCGCGTCATCGCCCCCAACCCGGCGCAGCTCCAGGGGCAGCGGCTACCGCAGAAACCCGGCCTGGTGCGGAGCAACACCCCCAGCATGACCCCCACCATCAACTACCAGCCGGTGCGTGGGATGGGCACCGGCAGGAGCTGGGCTGGGATGAGTTGGCGTGGGTTGGGATGGTTTGGAGAGGGTTGGATTGGGTTGGGATGGTTTGGGATGGCTTGGGATGGTTTGGAGTGGTTGGACTGCTGTCTCCGCAGCGGTCCAGCCCCGTTATCCCACTGTTCTCCCTGCTGATCCCACTGTTCTCCCTGTCCCCGCAGCAGTCCGGCTCGTCGGTGCCGTGCCAGCGCTCCTCGTCCTCTGCCATCTACATGAACCTCGCATCCCACCTCCCATCGGGTTCTGTGGCCCGCGTGTCATCGCCGCTGCCGAGCCCCAGCGCTCTGTCCGACGCCGCCAATTCCCAGGCGGCCGCCAAGCTCGCACTCCGGAAGCAGCTGGAAAAGACACTCCTGGAGATCCCGCCGCCCAAGCCGCCGGCACCGCTGCTGCACTTCCTGCCCAGCGCCGCCAACTCTGAGTTCATCTACATGGTGGGGCTGGAGGAGGTGGTGCAGAGCGTCATCGACAGCCAGGGTGTGTGTTCCCGCCGGATTTTCCCAAAAAAAGTGGGAGTCTAGGGTGGTGCGGGGTGAAATTGGGGGGTTTTAGCCCGGATTTGGGGGTTTCCTGGGGGTTCTCCTGTTGCTCTGACTACTTTGCCCGGTGGGGCTGGAGGAGGTGGTAACAGCCAAGGTGGGTGTTCCCAGGGAATTTCTGGGAAAACAGGGAATTTGGGAAGGGTTTGGGAGGGGTCAGGGCAGAGTCTGGGGTTTCAGTGCGAAATTTCAGGATTCTGGTATTGATTTGGAGGATTTCAGGCAAAACTTGTGGGATTTCAGTCCAAATCATGTGTATGATACCAGGCTCTGTGTAGAGCCGTTGGTGTACGGGCAGGGGGTTATCCCGGTATCCCATGATCCCTGTGCCATTCCAGGGAAGAGCTACCCGGTGTCCCTGTGCGTGGAGCCCTTCGTGTGCGGGCAGGGGGTTATCCCAGTATCCCATGATCCCTGTGCCATTCTAGGGAAGAGCTGCCCGGTGTCCCTGCGCGTGGAGCCCTTCGTGTGCGGGCAGTGCCGCACGGATTTCACGCCGCACTGGAAGCAGGAGAAGGGCGGGCGCATCCTGTGCGAGCAGTGCCAGACGTCCAACCAGAAGAAGGCCCTGAAGGCCGAGCACACGAACCGCCTCAAGAACGCCTTCGTCAAGGCCCTGCAGCAGGAGCAGGTCAGGCCCGGGATGCGCCGGAGCTGGAGGAAAACAGGGATCTGCGGTGGGAGCGCTGACACATCCGGCCCAGCCCATTCCAAAGCGCCCATCCCATCCCAAACCACTTGCCCATCCCATCCCGCTCACCCCATCCCATCTTGCTCGCCCCATCCTATCCGTTTCCAGTTTTCCCTTGGGAAGCCTCTTACCCACTCGCTGGCTTGTTTACGGATGGGGAATCTGCTGCATTAATAATAATCCATCTGGGATAAATGGGATAAAACTCAATCTGAGATGGAATCCAGGTGCTGGGTGCGGGAGGTGTCTTGGAAAGGGGCAGAGTCCCATTCCAGGTGGGAATGTGACGGGCTGGGCATTCCCTGGCACAGGAGATCGAGCAGCGGCTCCAGCAGCAGGCGGCCCTGTCCCCCACAGCCGCTCCTGCCGTTCCCAGCGTTGGGAAACAGGACGGGATCCTGCGCACCACACCGCTCCCGCAGGTGGAAACGGTAATGGAATGGTGGGCGTGGATGAGCAACGAGGGGAGATGGGAAGGGAGGGCATTGGGATGGGATTGGGGTGGATGGGACTGGCATGGCATGGCATCATTGGCGAGGGGACCAGGCTGGGATGATGGGGTGTCCCACACCAAATGTCACTCCCCCATTCTGGCGATGGTCCGGGAGCCCCCCAGTGTATCCATGTCCGTGTCCTGTCCCCCCAGGCCCCGCAGCCCCAGAGCAGCCTCCAGCGCGGAATTCCCACCTCCGCCCGCTCCATGCTCTCCAACTTCGCCCAGGCCCCGCAGCTCTCCGTGGCCGGGGGACTCCTCGGGATGCCAGGTACGGACCCTCCCAGGGACAGGGGTGGGATGGGATGGGATGAGTGGGATGGGATGGGAGGGAATGGGATGGCACGATGGAAGGGGATGAGCAGGATGGGCTGAGCAGGATGGGATGGGCTGGGCTGAGCAGGATGAGATCAGACAGGCCCTGCTGTGCCCCTTGGATTGCCGAGCCAGCTTTGGGAATTCCCACCTTGCTCCTGCCCCCGATCCCAAGGAGAGGGGGTGGGTTTTGGCACGCTCCGGCTCTGGGGTGCCGAGGGTCCGTGTCCCGCAGGGGTGAACATCGCCTACCTGAACGCCGGGATCGGTGGCCACAAAGCGTCGAGCCTGGCGGACCGGCAGCGGGAATACCTGCTGGATATGATCCCGCCCCGCTCCATATCCCAGGCCATCAGTGGACAGAAATAGCGCCCGCTGCCCCCACCCGCCTGCAGTGCCTGCACTGGGCCAACTGGGCCGGACTGGGCCAGACCGGGCCGGACTGGGGCCTCCGCTCCGGGGAAACGCGACGAGAAACCGGAAAAAATCCCACCTGGGAAAACAGACAGACAGACAAACCGACCCCACCCCCACTTCAGACAGCACCCGCTCCTTCTCCCAGCCCCAGTTCCCTCGGTTTTCCAGCAGGGATCGCTCCCTGGGCGTGAGGCTGGGGCGGCTCTGGCCGCTCGCCGCTGGTTTTGTATTGCCGACGCTTTTTCCTTGTGTTGTGGATTGTTTTTTTGCCCTTTTTTCCTTATCCCCCCCCCCATTTTCCTTCGCTCCCTGGATGGTTAAAGCTTTTTTACCCCTTTTCCAGAAGAGACTTTGGCAGGGCACCTTCCCAGAATTCCAGGCCCTATGGGGGGGAATTTAAGGGCAGCCTGTGCTGATTCCGGGGGGAGTTGGGGTCCCAAACCCCCTTTGGCTCCGATCCCAGGGGTCCCAAACCCCCTTTGACTCCAATCCCGGGAGTCCCAAACCCCCTCAGCTCCAATCCCAGGGTGTCACAGCACCGCAGCTCTGATTCCAGGGTGTCACATCCCCCTTGGCTCCAACCCTGGGAGCCATAAATTCCTTTGGCTCCCATCCCAAGGGTCCCAAACCCCCTCAGCTCCGACCCCAGGGTGTCCCAACCCCCAGGGCTCCACAGAAGGATCCACGAGATGCTGATCCTGACCCCTTTGGATCCAATCCCGGGGTGTTAAAACCCCCTTGGCTCTGCAGGATCCAGGAGACGCCAATCATGACCCCTTGGATCCCATCCCAGGGATCACAAACCCCCTGGGCTCCACAGAAGGATCCAGGAGACGCTGATCCCGACCCCTCAGATCCCATCCCAGGGCACCACAACCCTGTTGGCTCCGCAGAAGGATCCAGGAGACGCTGATCCCGACCCCTCGACTCAGATCCCGGGGATCACAAACCCCCTTGGCTCCAATCCCGGTGTGTCCCAACCCCCTGGGCTCCAGAAGGATCCAGGAGACGCCGATCCTGACCCCATGGATCCCACCACTACCCTTTGGATCCCATCCCGACCCTGGGGCTCCCTCATCCGGAGCCTGCTGGGTGTCCCTGGATGTCCCTGGGGCCGACGGACAGAGCTGGACCCGCCCCTGGGGTTCCCTCCCTGTGACACAAAGGGACCCCTTGAGGTGCCACCCTGGGATGTCCCTGTCCCTGTCACCCTCTGGGGCAGGTGGTGAAGCCAAGCTGGGTGGCCTCAGGCCTGGTGAGTCCCTCTGTCCCCAATCCCATCTCCAATCCCGTCCCAATCCCTGCATGTCCTGGAGCCACTTGCCCATGTCACCTGTGTCCCCTGGGAACGGTGACAGGGTGGCACTGGGGTCTCTGATGTCACCTGTGTCCCCTGGGAACAGTGACAGGTGACACCAGCATCCCCTGTGTCACCTGGGGGGGTCCCTGAATGGCACCAGGGTCTCTGGGGTCCCCTGTGTCACTGGTGTCCCCTGGGGGTGGCACTGGGGGGTCTCTGGTGTCCCCAGGAGGTGTCAGGGACACCCCAAACCAAGGAATGAGCCGTGAGAAAACGCTCGATTTGCACTTAAACCTTCACGGGCCCTTCCCCACCTTCTTCGTTCTCCTCATCCCCAACTTCCTCATCCTCCCCCTCACCTTCTTCATCCTCCTCCTCACCTTCTTCACCCTCCTCCTCACCTTCCTCCTCTTCTTCCTCCTCTTCCTTTTCCTCCTCCTCTTCCTCCTCACCCTCCGCCCCCATTCCCGACACTTTTCTTCCCAGTTTTTTAAGGTTCAATGAGATTTTTAAGGAATTCTCATTTTTTCCCTGAATTTTTGACCCTTTCCTCAACATTCCCAACTCTCTCGTGCAATTCCCCAACTCTGCCTCCCTGAATTGGGGGCAGGGGGAGAGACCCCCACCCACCCCTAAAGCAATTGGGGGGACCCCCAAGCAACCCCTGAGTTGGGGGAGGGGGGATCCCACCCCTAATTTAGAGAGAGGGGACCCCCTCACCCACTCCCTAAACATGGGGGGACACCACCCCACCCCTGCACTGGGGGTGACCCCTCTCTACCCCCCCCAAAATTCAAAGAGCACTTACCGTGAGGGGGGGTGTCAGACCCCCCCAAAAAGAGGCAAAAGAACAGTGGGGGTTTTACAATTTTAATTATTTTTTTTTAATTTAGCGGGTTTTTATGTCAAATTTATAATTTTGGGGGTGCTTTTGTTGGTTTGACCTTTTTCAGCTGCCTCCACCGCCTTTCCATTCCCAAAACCCCCCTTCCCCCCCCCGAAATTCCCTTTTTCCCTCCAAAATCCCCTTTTCTTACCCCAAAATCCCCTTTTCCCCTTTCCCTCCCAAAAATCCCCTTTTCTCACCCCAGGAGCACTTTGACAAATTTTTTTCTGGGGGCTAAAACATGAAGTTTTGGGTTATTTTAGGGGTTTATTTTGCTTTGGGGGA